AAGCACTTAGTGATGAAGATCAAAGTCTACACCTCAACAACAAGAAAACAAAAATCCTCATAACAGGGTCAATAAACAACATCATGATAAACAGAGAAAACACTGAAGTTGTCAAGGATTTCTATTTATTTGGATCCACAATCAACGCACATGGAAGAAGCAGTCGAGAAATCAAACAACATATTGCAATGGACAAATCTGCTGCAAAAGACCTCTTGAAAGTATTCAAAAGCAAAGATGTTATTCTGAGGAGGAAGATTTATCCAACCCAAACTATGGTTTATCAGTTGCCTCATAAACATTCAAAAGGTGGACAATGAATAAGGAAAATCAAAGAAGAACTGATTTTTAATTATGGTATTGATGAAGAATATTGAAATTACCATGGACTGTCAGAATTATGGACAAATTTGTCTTGGAAGAATAGCAAGAATGTTCCTAAGACACGAGGGTGGCCCTTCATCTCATATATTTTGGACATGTTATCATAAGGGACCGACCAGTCCTTGGAGAAGAACACCATGCTTGGTAAAGTGTAGAGTCAGAGAACAAGAGGAAGACCGTCAATAAGATGGCTTGACATAGTGGAGGCAATAATGGGTTCAAACATAACAATGACAGTGAGGATGGTGCAGGATCAGGCAGTGTTTCATCCTGTTGTCTACAAGGTTGTTATGACTTAGAACTGATGTGGTAACATCTATCAACAACAACAATGTAAGTATCTGCATAACCTAAAGTCTAAAAAATTTATCACACTTGGTTTATGCATTTAATAGCATTCCAGAAGACTGGTTTTTAATCATAGGAAATAACGGTGTTCTTTCTTTTGAGTACTTTATAAAAGACAAAAGTAAGCTCTAAGAAATCGTCTAAATCTCTGATTAGTCCTAGATGATACTATGATCTCATTAGGCAAAGAAAGAAATAAAATAAAAAGTCAGAAGCATGTTATCCACTAAATTAGTTTTATTTTTATGGTAATTAAAGAAATATTCATTTTAATCTTATGGTAACTAAAGATAAAGTTGAAATTTTAAATGTAAACCCTTCATTTTAAAGTATCTGGAAATGCCTCTAGTAGTAGTCCCTGAGCAGTACAAATGGTTAATGAAGGAGGTTTGAGTCCACCAAGCAGTGGTACCTTGGAAGAAAGGCCTGGTGATTCAGCTTTAAAAATTCAGTCATTGAAAACTCTGTAAAGTACAGTTCTACTCTGACACAAATGGGGTCATCATGAGTTAGAACAGACTTGAAAGAAACTGTTTCTCACAGGAATGGGTAGGAGTTCACTGACAGAGTGACATGTTTTAATAAGTATTTTCATCTCCATGTACATTCTCAAATATGCCATCAATGAGGAAATATGAGCCACACAGAGAAAGAGGAGAGAAAGCAAGAGTGAGACCACCTGTCTGTGTCTTTGGTGGATCTCTTCTTATAGACCTTGTACATCAATCGAGGTGGGGATACAGAGACTTGCTACTATAAACAGAATAATTATGCAAAGAGAAGTGTGAACTACTCTCATGTCAGCTTTAACTGCAGGTAGTGGTAGGTTCAGAAAGAGCCACTGTTGTTGTTTCCGACCCATAGTGACCCTGTTTCCGAGAAGCAGCTGGTGAGCTTGAACCACCAACTTTGCAGTCCAAATGGCTTTGCAGTCTGGTGCATTAACCCACAGCACCACAAGAGGACTCCATCAGAATAAGTAAATTTCCAAGTTCATTCACTGCTTGTCTTGTTAGGTAAAATAACAAGCTCCAGACTCATAAATCCCAGGTTTACTAAACATCACTATAATCTTTGTTTCATTAAATCAGCCTGGAGTGCTTTTTTGCATTCCTCTCGTCTTCATTATAAACATGGTACTTCATTAAAGCAAATAACTCAGCATTCAGATTACTCCAAGAGGAAGGGCATCCAAAACAAATGGCTAGCCCTTTACTTATTTAAAGAGCTCTAGCCTGCCTTGAGATAATACATCCCCTCAAAAAATTAATGATTGGAACCCATCAATCTTTCACTCACACTCAGCTGAGACGGCTATGAGGAAATCTGAGGTGTTTGCTGTCTCTAATGCATGCAGTCTCTTACACCTCTTATGAACATAGCTGCTGCTCTAAACTTCAGAGTCCTCTGAACCCACTGCAATATATTTGAGCAATTAAAAACATCTGTCGAGATCTGTTTGTTTATACACTGACAGCTTTCTACAGAGGAAATCCATCTCCCAAAAGGCAGATCTCAGAGAGAGCACACAGCTGACAAAAATCTGGCAGATCTCCATCAAGGAAGAAACGTGACCTTGGGCATTATGCTCTTTTAAGAACCATCCATATGTCGTGATCAAATGACAACAGCAAGTTGAAAGATTGCCTAGGAAACTTGTTGTTGTTGTTAAGTGCCTTCGAGTCAGTTCTTATTAATAGTGACCCTGTATAGTTTCCAAAGAGCATCTGGTGAGTTTGAAGCGCTGACCCTGTGGTTCCAAACCAACTTTGTAGTCCAGTGCATTATTCTGCAGTGCCACACCAGGACTCCATAGGAAACTCAGGGGTGAAAATGGCTGCACACCTCAAAGAAATCCACCACTACTGAGTTCGAGTCTGATGCATAGTGACCCTGGAAGACAGAGTAGAACTGCCCCATATGGTTTCCAAGGCTGCAAATCAATTTTTTATGGAAGCAGATGGCCACATAATTCTCCTGTGAAGTAGCTGGTGAGAGCGAACTATGATCTTTGGGTTTGCAGCTAAGCACTTTCACACTGTGCCAGTAGAGCTCAAATAATGTCACTAAATTGTATACTTACAAACTGTGGGATGGGTGTATGCTTTACTGTGTATCATCATAGCAACAAAAGAAATAATGTTTGAAGAAAAACAAAAGGAATGTGAAAGTATATCCTATGAAATGGACAGGAAGGCATTCCTATGGAGAGGTCTTATGGCTGATAGCATCAGCTCAAATTTTTAAATTCTGGATCATTTACTCTGCCTGAACACCAACAACTTTCAGTTTTACCCACAAATCCCAGTGGGGAAGAAAAGGACTTGAAAAGGTTGCAGCCCAAAACATAAATGTTGCAGCCCCAAACATAAAAACTAAACTAAAAACAAACGAATAAACAAAGTTCCCTGAATAATGCTCCATGTGATAAATTACTTTCAGAATACAGCACCATGATTCTCCACCATGAGTCTCTTAAAGGATCAGTATGTGCCCTTTACTTATAACAAAAAGTTAGCTAATATATAGTTTATTGTTATTGTTCCTTTGCCCATTAGTGCCAAGAATCTGAGAGTTGAACTTAATCGGTAGATATCTGTTACCAGCCTACAGCCATTTTCAGGGGACTCCATGTGTTACAGTGTAGAACTACTCCATAGGATCTTCTTGACTGTAATCTCTACAGAAATGGAGGACCAGACTTTCCTTCTGAGGCACCACTGGGTGAATCCAAACCACTAAACTTGTGGTCAAGAAGAAACTGTCTGTACTACCAAGAGACCTGCTTTTTCCTCCTATTTATTATTTTTGGTATCCAATTTTTATAGGACCTTGCAGTTCAAACCAACCTTAAGGTTAACTATTTATCCTACAGTGCCCCACCAGGACTCCATGCCTGTCATATATGCCTGTATATGCACAGAAAATATCAGGAAGACAGATAAGATGCTTTTAACTGTGCTTATCCCTCAAGTGTACAAATAGGAGAGAACAAGACGAAAAACTTTTATTGTTGTCTATCTACACAGGGTCACTATGAATTACAACTGGCTTGACGGCACTTAACAACAATAACCCTCCTGTTATGGATTGAACTGTCTCCCCAAAATATGTGCCAACTTGGCTAGGCCATGGTTCTTGTTATTATCCTACATGTTGTGATCTAATATAATTATCCTATGTATTATAAATCCTACGTATTATAAATAAATGAGTATTTCAGAACACTTAATTGTGCTCATGAGGAATCTGTACATGGACCAAGAGGTAGTTGTTCGAACAGAACACAGGAACACTGAATAGTTTAAAATTAAGAAAGGTGTGAGACATGGTTGTATTCTTTCACCATACTTATTCAACCTATATGCTGAGCAAATAATTTGAGAAAATGGGTTACATGAAGAAAAACGTGGCATCAGGATTGGAGGAAGACATCAACAACCTGCGATATGCAGATGACACAACCTTGCTTGCTGAAAGTGAAGAGGACTTAAAATATTTACTGATAAAGATCAAAGAGCACAGCCTTCGCTATAGATTGAATCTTAATGTAAAGAAAACAAAAATCCTCACCACTGGAGCAATAAACAACATTGTTATCAATGGAGAAAAGATTGAAGTTGTCAAGGACTTCATCCTTCTTGGATCAACTATCAACACTCACGGAAGCTGCAGTCAAGAAATCAAACGACGTATTGCATTAGGCAAATTTGCTACACAAGACTTTTTTAAAGTGTGGAAGAACAAAGATGTCAGCTTGAGGACTAAGGTGCGCCTGACCTAAGCCATGGTATTTTCAATAACCTCATATGCAAACGAAAGCTGGACAGTGAATAAGGAAGACCATAGAAGAATTGATGCTTTTGAGTTATGGTGTTGGAGGAGAATATTTAAAGTGCCATGGGCTGCCAAAAAAACCAACAGATCTGTGTTGGAAGAAGTGCAGCCAGAGTGCTCCTTAGAGGCCAGGGTGGCCAAACTTCGTCTCTCATACTTCAGACATACTGTCAGGAGGGACAAGTCACTGGAGAAGGATATCATGTTTGGTGGGGTGGAGGGTCAGAGAGAAAGAGGAAGACCCCCAGCGAGATGGATTGGCCAAATAGCAGCATTGATGGACTCAAGCATGGCAACAATAGTGAGGTTGGCCCAGGATCGGGCACTGTTTCATTCTGCTGTGCATAAGGTCGCTATGAGTCAGTGCCGACTCAATGGCACCTAACAACAGCAACAATTATAAATCCCTACCTGGATAAGCCTAATGAAGCAGGGTTAGAGACAGTTACATTGATGAGGCAGGATACAATCTACAGGATTAGGTTGTATCTTGAGCAGGGATCAGAGGGAGCCCATTACTACCAAGAAAGAAGAAGCTTGTCCTCTGAACACATGGTCTCTGAGCTGAGAAGTTCCTAGACCTTGGGCATAATTGACAGAGATCTCCAAGAGATGTCAGGCTCACAAATGTTGAATGAAGACAAGAACCTTCCCCTAGAGCTGACAGAGAGAAGAAGCTTTCCACTAGAGCTGATGCCTTGCATTCAGACTTCTAGCCTCCAAACTGTGAGAGAATAAATGTGTTTGTTAAAGCCACAAATGTCTGGTATTTCTGTTACAGAAACACAAAATAACAAAGACATCTGTTATCCTGCTACATTTTTTTTACAGTGCAATTTTGTTACTTATGGTAAACACAAATTTGTTGACCTTGTCCAGCTAAGCTTCACTGAAAACATTTTGGAAGAGTAACATGATAAAATCTGCAATCTCTAGGCCAATGTATATGCATAAGTCTAGGTACTAATTCTTAGTCTGTTTGTTCTGCCAGCATTACCTTTGGTACGATACTTAGATAAGCAGACTCGCTCGAAGATTTCATATAGGCTGAGGGTAGTGGGGGAATCTTGGTGAGGTCTGTGAATAGTTCATCATTCCTGACGCTCCTTGGGGAGAAGAAGCTGGCACTGAGGCTCCCAAAGTTGGCCAAGTCCAAATTGTGGAGAGAGTCTTTCCGGGGGCACCTGAGTCTCATGTCACGAGTCACCAGGGTTTCTTCAAACACAGACTCCTCGTCAGAGAGCTGCAGCTTCTCAAGCTCCTTATTGATTTTCTGCACATCTGCCACAGTGGTGCCAGTGGATAAGCGGCTGTCGGGCTTGGTATACTCAGCACAAAGACTGAGAATCGTCTCCAGACGCTGTCGCTCCTAGAACACAGAGAGCACAGAGGTCAGTGGGCTTGTGAGGATGGAGACAACTCCATATAAAAAGACACAAGAGGTTGGTCCAATGGCATCTTTATTCTACATAGAAACCACAGACACTCAGCCACTGATGACTGACCACCATCTTTTATGTTAGAATCCAGATGAAACCCAAGTGAATGATTCTACTCTATAACTCAATTATGGCTGTCCCTTTACCTCAGTCTGATGCTACACTGTAACAACACTCAGTAAACCTTTTCTTGACTTATCAATTCCCCACACACTTCAATGTTCATTTTTATTTTTCTTATCTCCAGTTCCTATCCATCCCCTTCCCCATCTTTTACCTATTTACCTTCAACAATATGTAGCTCGTAACCTTAACATTTGCACTTAAAATTATTTTCCCTAAAACATTTTATTATTCTACTATTCTTTTGTTGGAGCCCTGGTGTGGTGCTGTAGGTTATAAGCACTGGAGCACAAGGTCAGTTTGAACCGCAAGGCCGGCAGTTCAAACTCACCAGTCGCTCTTAGGACAAGGTCGCTATGAGTCGGAACTGACTTAATGGCACTTAACAACAACAGCATTATTGGACACAAAAAAGTAAAACAAAAACTATGTAAAGAAAAAGGCTTTTGACTTGAAAGACATAATTGTGTTTTCAACTATTTTACTTGAAAAACTTCAATATTTTCCAAGTATTTATGCCTGGTCAATATATGAAGGTCTTCCTACTAATTTCTCCCATGAGTGAATAAGATTAGAAAAATATAGGAATGTTGTTCCAAAAGGAAGAGGGTTTTTCATCATGTCCAGATGGAACTTTATCGATATATTAAAATGATGAGATCATGAAACATTTGATTGCTTTTGATGAAAAATAAAATGTTAATATTACAAAAAATATCAATATATGTTTAGTATTAATGTTTATAATGGTACCACTAACCATATTTCAGGAGCTCTGGTCGTGTAGTGGTTACGAATCGGGCTGCAAACCGCAAGGTCAGCTGTTTGAAACTACCAGCTGTTCCGCGGGAGAAAGATGAGGCTTTCTGCTCCTGTAAAGATTTACAGCTTCGGAAACCCTGTACAGGGTCGCTATGAGTCGGAACCGACTTTAAAGCACATAACAACAACAACCATATTTCACCAGGCTCCCCAATTTAAACATGTAGAGATTTACGATTTTTAATTAACCTGGAGTTGACTCAGCACACTTAACAACAACAAAGTTTATTAATTCTATATGTATCGATATCAGAAAATAGAATTTATGAAATGTTTACAATAATCCCAGACTGTACTGTTTGGGGATGGGCAACCCCAATATCTTCACCAATTCCATTATCTCACGTGAACATGAACACATCTGCTGTGATTACATCTACCATATTAAAATAGAATTCAAAAGCCTTCTATAGAAAAACACTTTCCAAACTGCTTCTCAGTCACAAAATAGAAAA